CTCCATTCACCTAACTCCCTCCACTCACTCCACTGACTCCACTCACTCCACTCACTCCACTCACTCCACTCACTCCATTCACTCACTCAACTCACTCCACTCACTCCACTCACTCCACTCACTCCCTCCACTCACTCAACTCACTCCACTCACTCCACTCACTCCACTCACTCCACTCACTCCCTCACTCCACTCACTCCACTCACTCCACTCACTCCACTCACTCCATTCACTCCACTCACTCCACTCACTCCACTCACTCCCTCCACTCACTCAACTCACTCCACTCACTCCACTCACTCCACTCACTCCCTCACTCCACTCACTCCACTCACTCACTCCACTCACTCACTCCACTCACTCACTCCACTCACTCCACTCACTCCACTCACTCCCTCCACTCACTCAACTCACTCCACTCACTCCACTCACTCCACTCACTCCCTCACTCCACTCACTCCACTCACTCCACTCACTCCACTCACTCCACTCACTCCATCCCTCCACTCACTCCACTCACTCCACTCACTCCACTCACTCCCTCACTCCACTCACTCCACTCACTCCACTCACTCCCTCACTCCCTCCCTCCCTCCCTCAACTCACTCCACTCACTCCACTCACTCCACTCACTCCCTCACTCCACTCACTCCACTCACTCCCTCACTCCACTCACTCCACTCACTCCACTCACTCCACTCACTCCCTCACTCCACTCACTCCACTCACTCCACTCACTCCCTCACTCCACTCACTCCACTCACTCACTCCACTCCCTCCACTCACTCCACTCACTCCATTCACTCCCTCACTCTACTCACTCCACTCACTCCACTCACTCCACTCACTCCCTCACTCCACTCACTCCACTCACTCCACTCACTCCACTCCCTCACTCCACTCACTCCACTCACTCCACTCACTCCACTCACTCACTCCACTCACTCCACTCACTCCACTCACTCCACTCACTCCCTCACTCCACTCACTCCCTCACTCCACTCACTCCACTCCACTCACTCAACTCACTCCACTCACTCCACTCACTCCATTCACCTAACTCCCTCCACTCACTCCACTCACTCCCTCACTCCACTCACTTCCTCACTCCACTCACTCCACTCACTCACTCACTCCACTCACTCCACTCACTCCACTCACTCCACTCACTCACTCACTCCACTCACTCCACTCACTCCACTCACTCCACTCACTCCCTCCCTCCCCTCCCTCCCTCCCTCACTCCCTCTCCTCCCTCCCTCTCTCCCCTCCCTCCCTCCCCTCCCTCCCTCCCTCCCCTCCCTCCCTCCCTCCATCCCTCCCTCCCCTCCCCCCCCTCCCCCCCTCCCTCCCTCCCCTCCATCCCCTCTCCCTCCCTCCCTCCCTCCCCTCCCTCCCCTCCCTCCACTCCCTCCCTCCCTCCCCTCCCTCCCTCCCCTCCCTCCCTCCCTCCCTCTCCCCCCTCCCTCCCTCCCCCCCCCTCCCTCCCCCCCCTCCCCTCCCTCCCTCCCTCCCTCCCTCCCGAGTGGAATCTCTTTCCAACTCGGGGATGTTTGAGTCTCCGCCGGAACCTTCAATGGGTGAGGCGGCGACTGGAGAGATGTTGTCACTCACACCTGTTACACCTGTGTGAGATGTTGTCACTCTCACCTGTTACACCTGTGTGAGATGTTGTCACTCTCACCTGTTACACCTGTGAGAGATGTTGTCACTCTCACCTGTTACACCTGTGTGAGATGTTGTTACTACTCACCTGTTACACCTGTGTGAGATGTTGTTACTATCACCTGTTACACCTGTGAGAGATGTTGTTACTACTCACCTGTTACACCTGTGAGAGATGTTGTTACTACTCACCTGTTACACCTGTGAGAGATGTTGTCACTCTCATCTGTTACACCTGTGTGAGATGTTGTCACTCTCACCTGTTACACCTGTGTGAGATGTTGTCACTCTCACCTGTTACACCTGTGAGAGATGTTGTTACTACTCACCTGTTACACCTGTGAGAGATGTTGTCACTCTCACCTGTTACACCTGTGAGAGATGTTGTTACTACTCACCTGTTACACCTATGTGAGAGATGTTGTTACTACTCTCACCTGTTACACCTGTGAGAGATGTTGTTACTAATCACCTGTTACACCTGTGTGAGATGTTGTCACTCTCACCTGTTACACCTGTGAGAGATGTTGTCACTCTCACCTGTTACACCTGTGTGAGATGTTGTTACTACTCACCTGTTACACCTGTGTTAGATGTTGTTACTACTCACCTGTTACACCTGTGTTAGATGTTGTCACTCTCACCTGTTACACCTGTGTGAGATGTTGTCACTACTCACCTGTTACACCTGTGTGAGATGTTGTCACTACTCACCTGTTACACCTGTGAGAGATGTTGTTACTACTCACCTGTTACACCTGTGTTAGATGTTGTCACTCTCACCTGTTACACCTGTGTGAGATGTTGTCACTACTCACCTGTTACACCTGTGAGA